TCTCTGCACCGTAGAGCAGGACTGGCCGAACTGCTGCAGCATACACTCAACCCTTCACAGACAGCCGGATATCGCGACGGCGCCACAAATGTCTCAAGTAGGCAAATGCCAATCGAGCCTTTTCTATGCGTGCCGACACTTCATCTGTGATGCGTCCGCTAGGTGAGCTATAGCTGCCTAGATAGCAAAATTTGTCCACTTCCTCTACTACTTCCCCAGTTAGTGTGAGACTGGGTGCTGGATAAACCCAATCTTGTAGTAGCATTTTACACTTTGAAGGTGCAAAACGCATACCGAAAATGGCTACACTAGCACTCAAACTATCCAGAAAAGCTTGCAACTTACCTGGATCATCACTTAGTAGCACATTGTCGTCTGCATACTGTGGATCAGACAGTCTGCCACCCGGAAGTAAATCGATATCGCTATCCTTGCACGAGGATAGGGCTGTTTCAAGAACTAAATCTATGAGAAAGTTAAATAGAAAAGGAGAGAGAGGACAACCCTGTCGAACACCACTTTCCGAGATGAACTCGAGTGAAAAAGTGCCGTAAGTTCGAACTCGGCTTCGGCTATTATTGTAGAGGGATTGTAGTATTCAAATAAACTTCACGAGCACTCCCTTCAGGGAAAGGCAGCACCAGAGTTTAGAGCGGTCGACTGAGTCGAAAACCGCTTTCAGATCAAGGAAGATAAAAATGGTGGGTCTACGAAAGGAGTGTCTATCTTCTAGAATTTGACGGAGTGTGAAGATGTGGTCAATACAGCCTCGACCAGGTCTGAAACCGGCCTGGTTCTCACGCGTACACCGTTCACGTGCGGCAGACAATCGACGGAGTATGATACCGGCGAGAAGTTTAGACTCAATATTGATTAAAATAATTCATCTGTGGTTTTCAAAAGAAGATCTATCACCTTTCTTGTAAATCGGTATGATCACCGATTCACACCATTCAGTTGGAACCGATTTGTAACTGTCGGTGATAGTGTATTGTGGGCATCCGTTTTTCGG